ATACGTCATAAAACAGAAAGGATACAGTGTATTACAGTCTCGACCTGCTCTAGGACTGCGGTTATACGAGCCGAGGGGTCACACACAGCACGATAAAAAAAAATCCATTCTTTTCCCTGACCCACCCTTGTGGCATACCAAATGTTGACGGCCCAGAGTCCTTCGAGGCGAGCCCAGCCAATAGAAAAAGGATCCAAGATAGGGAATCCCTTCTCCCCCTCCCCCCGCCCTTTCACTGCACTTCTCCCTCCTATCAAACCTTGCGAAAGCAGACGCCATCTCAAGGCAAGCCAGTTTCGCAAGGAAGAGTCGCGTCCGTATTCACTCTTGTCCTGCTCAAACATACGCGCCTTAACCTTCTCTCTGTTTCTTCCCCACCTCTCCAGACTTTCTCCCGCCGAAACCACCGACTCGAACCACCGATCTGAGTTTTCTTACCATGATCAAGCTAGCCGTATCACACGCTCTTTCCTCCCAATCAACACGAAACTCGTACTGAAATTGCCAGCACCAGTTCACAAAGACGAAACACAAAGCAAAAGAAAAACTCGCTCTAAGGAGCTCAGCGTCCTCGTCCGATTCCGAACTCCACTGACTCAAGTAATTGACGCAACACAGAAACAACGCCGCTTTGTTCCCCGCACGCCACACGAGGCCGCCGCCCTCGCCCCCCGCATCCGCATTGGGCATGGCGCCCTAGCCGGAAAGAAGAAATCCTTAAAAAGTATTTATAAATGACAAAAAGGAACACACAAAAGAAAACAACGTCAAAAACTTGAGGACGCGCGAGAGACACAGATCCTTCTTCGCGCAGGGCTGATTCTCAACGCCGGACAAACAGACATAACAAACGAAGAGAAGAGAGCGAAAAAGAGACGTGATATGTGCTTGAGCTCTGGAAAGGTCAAGTGGTAGAAAACTAGGACGATGACACGAGTTGAAGGTTCAGAAAACAAATTGAGAATGAGGAGAGGCCACGTAAGACAGCAATCCGAGAGGAAGAATCGGTAACAACTGCCTAACACAGTACTACGAACAGATGGGTACGAACGATGACCAGAGACCAGGCAAAACAGCAACCTTCGAAGACGAAGCAATCTCAGGGAAGTCGTGATGATGAGGCGTGGAGATCCAAATAACTCACCTTTTCCCCTCGGTCAATGTATTTCACCGCCACAAGCTCCTTCGTCCGTCGATCTCTCATCAACCGAGTGACGCCGAAATTGCCCGACCCAATATCCCTTACGTATTCATAACCCTCCACGTCATACGGGCTCATTTTGTCCAAAACTCGTCAAGCTTGGTCAACTGAAGATGATAAGGAGAGGATGGGAGACCCCGCCGATAGCTTCAAATATAATCGATACGAGAGAGACGAGTTCTCAGTCGGAAAGAGAAGGTATGAATGCCACTGCGCACACATCAAAGATCTGCCTACTGCTGGTACCAATGCTGCTACCACTACATGGCAGGCAAACCATAGCACTACTTAGTGCATTACTTCCCATCGGGCAAAAAGGGCGGTACTCTAAAGAAGTGGGCACGGCGGGAAAGAAGCAGAACACAAGGATAGAGATCGCGCGCCAGAATGGCCGAGAAAGGAAGAAGAGGGCGAGAGAAAAGACGGAACGAAAGTGGCCACGAAGAAAGAGCGCGGGAGGAAGACAGAAAGGGAGAGAGAAGACGCGGGAGAAAGAAAACACCGGCCCGTCGATCGAGACCGGGGGCAAGGTCCCACTTAAGCAAATTAGGAGATTTGGGCCGTTGATCTTTGCTATCTACGGTCAGTATCTCTTAATTCGTGCAAGAGGGACCTAGCCCCGGCGGGCGGGAGGAAAGGAAAAGAACCTAGGTGCGCGAACCGTCGTCAATCGACATCGGCTTTTCGCGCGGCATGGACAGCTGGTAGGTACTTCGGGGGAAAAAAAAGGGGGTCTTCACGATAGAGTCAATCGGCAAACACCAGCAGGGAGCCTGCACAGCGTAGCAACGCCGTACTGTACAACTCAAACACCGCACGAGTGTGAGGTGTGAACGAGACAGCGAATGGCGTGGCAAGTGAGACAAATGACTCAAGCGAGAGAGGGAAAAGTGCGAAAGTTGAATTGGACGACGCTTGTTTCCTTCTCCTGCATGCTCAGCGGTCTGACAGATTTCACAGAGCTCAAGCAACGCAGGCTGGCACTGCCGCGCGGCGCCTGTCAAGCAGAGAACCCTTCAGGCCATGCCGCGCGGCACCACTCACAAATCTTCCTATTTTTCGCACAAATCCTCCCTCCATTACTCACCGAACCCCTGTCTTTCTTGATTCGGCCCAGGCCGCGCCGTTGCTATCCGTCTCCTGAAGCACGAAACTGGTGATGCAGCTCGCATCTTTCGTGCTCCTCTGTAGGCACCCTTGAGGCCTCGCCTTCTGCCACTCGCTTTGCCTTGCGAAAGTACCCGCCTCACGCACCCCGTGCAACCGCAAGCCATCGACTTACCGCGAGGGGGCGCACCCCGTAAGTGTGTAGCGGATCTGAGGCACAGAAGGCCGGGTGTGTTGCATGAGGCCTGCGGCACAGAAGGCCGGGTGTTGCATGAGGCCTGCGGCACAGAAGGCCGGGTGTGTTGCATGAGGCCTGCGGCACAGAAGGCCGGGTGTGTTGCATGAGGCCTGCGGCACGGAAGCAGTTTAGATGCTGGCCCAGTAGTAGCCAGGAGTCTTGTGAATCCTCAATGGCGCACAAGTAGCTAAGTGATGTTCCTAAGTGGTTAGAGTTTATTTCCCAGAAAATCCTTCAAGTCAGATGGATGCAAATAACTGAAGCATAAGGAATGAGATCACCTGGGGCAGGGTGTGGGAGGGCGCGGTGTCCCGACCCTCCCTTGCATACCGGGCGATTGTTCACCTACCTTCGCTGTGTACCAGACGTCTGCTCACGCACCTCTGCAGCGCACCAAGTCTTCTAGCCTACAGATCAGGCAGGCTTAGTACCCTGCCATGCAGCAAAAGCTGCGGCCGGGTTTACCCAGGTTACAGGATGCCTTCAGCCCAGCAGTTGATGTCGAAGCAAAGGAAGGGCTGAGAGAGGAAAAAGATCCTCCACAGGTACCGGGCATACGCTGTTTTCCCGACCTCTGTACCGTACCGGGCGCGTCCACTTCTCAGTAGTGTGCCAAACTCTCCAAGGCCCGTTCCCGGACTGGCCCTATAGGCGCTCCCACAGAAAAAGGACGGGGTATGCCACGGGGACTCTCGATCGGCCTGCTCAGGGTCGGCGATCTGCAGTGCTGTGGAGCACTACTGGTCCGTGGTTACCGTCGTCCAGGGACGTGAGGGTAGCGAAAACGGCGCGGTGTTCTCTACTGCGCACGAATTCCCTTTTGCCAGATTAAGGGTAGTGTGCATAGGCTAGGCGGACGCAGCGGAGTAAGGAGTGAAAGTGAGAAAAAGAGAAAGGGGAAATTTAAAGAAAAGAAAAAGGAAAAAGAGGGGGAGTCACGCAGTGAGTCCGCCCCCTGGATCGAATCGTTACTTTTATTTGAATTATCTGGGTGTCGTCGGGCTGCAGCGGCGCTACGTTTTCCTTTTGTTTTCCTTTTCCCCTTTCTACTATTATTGCTGTTATTATTATGTTTTCCTTCAGTTGTGATTTCATCCTTTCTATCACTTCGTAGGGGACCTAACTGTCCGCTTTTGAATCGTAACTGCGAATCGGCAGGGCAGGGCAGGGCTGGTCTGGCCTTTCGCGTCCCACTCTGTTACCGACGTGACTAGCTGAGCACCGCATAGTAGGATCCCAAAATGGGAGCACTCGCGGCCGCATTGGTAGAAAACTCATCACCTTTTGAGGAAGGTCATGAGCCCCGTCCCTGTCTCTTATACACATCTAGATGTGTATAAGAGACAGGGGCAGGGCAGGGCTGGTCTGGCCTTTCGCGTCCCACTCTGTTACCGACGTGACTAGCTGAGCACCGCATAGTAGGATCCCAAAATGGGAGCACTCGCGGCCGCATTGGTAGAAAACTCATCACCTTTTGAGGAAGGTCATGAGCCCCGTCCTTACCATCGGACACGGGTACCCATGAGGGGTAGTTCGATGGTCTCCTTTTGAAAGGAGGGACGCAACCGCCCGTATCCCGTTATGGGACCACAACAACGAGCATGCGGTCTTTTCATATCGAAAATGAAGAGACTAGCGACTGATAGCAGAGTGAGCCGCCTGTGTTATGACCGTTGAGGTTCGACCTCTCACATTCTCTCTTTAATTTATTTTATCCTATTTTATTATTTTTTGAATTTACATATCACTAAAATACTAGATTCTAAAATTCACACGAGTCCTTTGTTCGGAGCTTGAGAAATCGCGGTCTACGGCGAACCTATAAAGAATGATGGAGACGAGCCTTTGGCTATTGGGACATGGGCAGGCTCGTTACGCCAAGTACTGATGGGCAGAAAAGAGGGGGTTCAACGGCAGAGTGAGCGTGAGGCAGTCTGTCTACGTGCGCAGGTGTTGAGTGCTAAGTCCGGGCTGTTTTGGAAGCCGATAGCTTGGTGACTTACGCTGCAGGAGGACTCAACCATGGTGTGCAACAACGGTTTGTATGGCTATAGGCCAAGATACCTCCAGTTCCTCTGGAGGTGGGAACGGATATCTGGGGACGGGCCTGTAGTGATGGCCATTTTAGACTATAGTCATTATAACGAAGAGGCAAAACTGAAGGTAAATGTGGAAGGGGGGAAGGAAGAGAAGATGAGAACGGACCAGGGCCTGTCGTCGGCTATCACAGAAGCCAAGGACCGGGCCGAGAGGAAGTATAGACGAGAGGGGGTCATGGACGAAATTAAGGTGACCGTCTCGTACCTGGAGGGAGAGACCTCGACGAACACAGCAAAGAGGGAGCAGCGACACCTTGACCTCGACATGGAAGCAGAGAGTGAGAAGAGTGATCGGGAAGTCCAGACCCAGTCCTGGCACGGGCTGGACCAGTGGCGGCGGGACCACCCACCCATTGAACCTGTAGACAGCGGCCCAGAGGCTAACTCGCGGTGAGGAAAGGATCGGGGCCGCTAGGCCGTGGGACACGTGAGGTCAACTCGCGAGAATGGTTACGAGAAAGAGAGGCGCGTGGAGTTGCTGTGTGGTTGACATCATCGCTAATGAAGGGACAAGTAGTCATGATCGAGAGAGAGAGGATGAGGGAGAGTACGTGCAAAAGTCCGACGCGAAAGAGAGAATGGAGTCGCCTCCTTGACAAGTCGATGTCACCTACCGGGCGCGGGAAACATGAAGAGGCCTTTGGCGCGCGCTGGCGACACCACCGAGCCTCGTATCGATCATGGTTAGAATAAATGCTTCTCGATCATCGCGTGAGGCTGTTGTCATCTTAGCTGGCCTTTAGAGTGAATAGAGGTTAAAGACTTTGCACATGCTCTTCACGCGACCCGTGTGTGATTAATTTAATGTCGTACCAAGCACAACATGAGCGAAAAAGGTGAGGAGGCCAACTCATGACAGAGACGCAACTAAAGGTACCAGGCAGTTACAACGAAGAGATGCCCACGATTATCAAGAGAGAGAGGAGCCAGATGACAGAAAAACATACTACGAGCGAGCAACTGGTTCATGTCGACACGCAAAGGGGGCACCATAGGAGGCGCGTCTGCCAAAAATGGGATCAGGAACCTGTGATAGTGTTTTTGGACTAGCCGCGAGGACGCAGTGCTCTCGCGTGGGAAGATGATGCAACAGACTTCACCCTGTCTATGCGAGTCGTCGTGTTGTGTGAGAGAGCGGGGGAGGCGCATGGCTGCAAGTAATAGTGATGCGTGTTGACAGGCGGAAAAATCGTTGAAGAATCAACATCTTGATCCCAGTTGTGATGTGGCAGTGGTGAGCCAATGTGCGTGATACTAGTAGTACTATGAGATCGAGTCTAACTGCTGCGGGCAGTGACATTGGGAGTTGTACACTCAAACGCGCAAGAGAACGGGGGTGCCTACATTGACGACATGATAGTTCGATGATCTTTACGACTCTTCATGATCCCTGCTACCTTCCCCTATTGGGAAGCAATCACAGGGCAGGAGGGACAAGTGCGTGTAAACCCAGTTGACAGTGGAGGATGAGCTAGTTGAGGAACAGGGTTTGCACACCTACTTCAGTAGGTGTCAAAAACGTTTCCCTGGGACTAGCTCCACCACTTGTTGTTTGTCGAGAGGATTAAAAGTCTTGGGAGGATTATGGTTGACTACCCCTATTCTCGGGTAAACTTCATAGGGATGTAAACATGATGCTGAGAGATACTGAGCAATTCTAAGCCGCTCGCCAGTACTAGAGTGTGCAAGTCACCTGGGGACTTTCCCAAAGTTAAGGACGGAAAACGGATCAGTTGTTCTCCGTTAATGTCATTATTTTCCATATGCGACCTGCCTCTCTTCCCACACCCGAAAAGGAGAGTCTAGCGTGTATGCACTGAGCAAGGGATAGAGAATATCTTAGTCGATTATTGAGACAAAGGGACTCTTCGTGATTAAGATTGCCTTCGGTGTTGGGTCGGATTGAGCAAAAGCAACCTTGTCACCAAGCCCTTAGGTTGATGCTACCACACCTTTCTCATATGGTGAACCGTGGATACTAGCTAATCTTGGTCGAAGGTGGATACGAACAGTGTGTGACAATGACTTCGCTGATCAGAAATGTGACCGAGTCGCTGTTATGGCGCATCAGTGACACACATGGTTGCTCGAAGTCCAGCAATATAGCCAACATTGTCACTATGAGAGAACCCTGATCGGTTTGAGATTTTTTGGTAAAAAAAAAAAAAGGGGCGACGTGCAAATCCAGGCAAACATATACTGTAGCAGACCTCTAGTTGGCCTGTGAGACCAGCCCCTTGGCATGTTCTCACAGACCTGTGTTGTATTCGGGGTAGTCCAGTCCAGGCCGGTACCTCTGTCGGTACCAGCCAGTCCAGTCTGGTCGCAGGTTT